CATACTATCTGTTATATACTATAATTAAATATTATACGTATTCCTATGGTACCTCCCATAAACATCTAACCCGTTTGATGTCTTATGTAGGTTTGCGGGAGATAGATGGCCAACATGGGTATTTGGATGGTACTTCCCCTACCCGAGGAAGATCAGGTAGTACCTCGCATGCCAGAGCCAAATGACCATTATGATCCATGGATTCCAGTGCCACCTTCACCTATATCGCCAGAGAAGTCATTTGAGGAGGTGGAGCTCGAGGAGGAGGAGTCAGCTGAGGGAGCGAACGATGAGGGTCCAACAGATAGTTATCCATATTAGGATTCATCATCTAGTGATGACCCCATTGACCCAATGAGTCAGAGATTCAGGTCGAGGATGACACCTGAGTTCTATCATCCACACCATCACCTTCTCAGCAGTCGTTCAGACTCTACATCCTAGGTCCGCACCGAAAGAATACCCTAGGGAAATCCACTTCTTTACCCTCCCATAATAGAGTAGCATCACCTCCATTATCACATTGAGATTCGAAAAGGCCTTGCCCCACCCATAGATGCACTCCTTAGATTGATGAGTGGATTGAGGAGGATAACATCGAATTTTATGAGGTAGGTAAGTCATCCCAGGCACCCTTACGATATCTCATCCCAAATTCCCTGACCCAAAGTGCAATATTCATATTAGTTCCACAGGTAGCTCGGAATGTAGATAATATTCATCGCACAGAGGAGTTTCTTTGTTTGTTGAGGAGGGATGTCAGGTTGTTGACTGACAAAGTTCATGAGCTCGAGCAGGGACGAGATATCGAGGATATGAGATTCCTTCATGCATACAATCATATCGAGGATCAGCCAGGTATGAAGAGTCAGAGGACAGGTCTATTTTAGCATATAGTCGTTCTGAAATCCAACAACCCAAGCGACAAGTTCAATCTAGTCACTTCTCCCGTAAGTATTTTATTAGTAGGGTAATTAATAATAATACTTGTAGTTATTAGGCTTAAGGGTTAAGCCTAATTAGAGTGTAAGCCCTATGTTATAGTTGTGATTCCTAAGGAATTACTAGTTTGCTATAACCTGTAGCTCTTATACCAATCTTTCACACCCCCGGCCGACGGCAGAAACGTCGGGCTATGCGACGTTAAAATGTTGGATCACAGACAATAGATATATTGAACAACACATCCAATTTACCACATAAACATTACCTTTTATTTATTATATAATATAGATTACATAATTGTTCAAGGTACAGGTACAAGACAAAAGCAAAGTAAATAATCAGAACACAAATACTTCCAACAACATCCTTGGGAATATGCAAGTCATCTTCATTACTCATTCTCCTAAGAATACATGTGTTTTATGAAGTTAATATTTTGGAATCACGTTGACGTGTATCTTCCCGAATGTGTTATTTTGCTCATAAGATGACACGAATTTTCGTGCACTTATTACTGAGCCTATTAGTCGAAATAATCGTATTTGGTAAGGTCGTAATCGAATGTATTTATTAATATATCGAAATGTTATATCTTTTACCTATTACACTTGATCATATACATCTATTTCTAACGTTGGTCGGTGACTCGTTTGCCTCGGTTGTCACACCTACCATCCTTTCCTTGTAAATGGTACTTTAGTTACTACATGATCTTAGTTTCCAATGTAAAATTCATCTGACGTACTGTTCTATCCACCATCTTATGATTATTATGTCACTGTAGTGTCAAAATGGGAGAAATAGATAAATGAGCATCAAAATCATGCATAGTCGACCCAAAGAAAGTTCATAACGTAAGGAGGGGGAATGTAAGGGGAGCATCTCTTTTAGCAGATGGTAAAGTATGGTACAGTGTAAGGATACAAAAGAGAATTCTTTTTGCCTACAAACGGATCAAGCTAGAGATTGGTTGAAGCTATAAAGGTTTATTTGGAATATGTTGTGTAATCTCTATAGTTTTTGACATCATCATATTGGGGGAGATTGTAAGATCGAACCTTATAATCTGATGAGTCAAAAACTCTTCATTTTGATTATTAAACAACATCTCACATGTCGTTTAGATCTCGTCGGCACCAACATGAAGTTCCTTGTGCACGAAGAATCAAATCCATTATCTTTGTGATAAGATCTTTTATTTGTATAGTTTATCGTATTTTGTATAGTATTTCAAATCCTGGATTTGTAGGGATTTCCTTATATTAATTAGATTACCCTAATATTTAAATGATTCTAGGGTTCATTCTAATTCATGGCTTTGTGCTATCTCTCTTTGTGGCAAATCAAGTTCTTTGTGAAATCTTAATCAAGTTTGTTTTAATTAATTCGTGTTCTTCATTATTAATTCATTGCTTGTTGTTATTCCTTTTATCCAACAATTCAGAAGGATAAATATAAATGAAAGTTATAGTCAATATGACAATGGAAACATTGGAAAAATATTCAGGTTAACTGAACCTATAGTGAAGGAGTTATGGTTATTTGAAAATGACTAGTTCAAAGCATGAAAATGGAAAAAATGAGTAAGGACCCATGTTCATGACTTAATATCTCTCTCTCTCTCTCTCTCTCTCTCTATATATATATATATATATATATATATATATATATATATATATATATATATATATATATAGAAACATACACACACATTTAGCCAAATACATGTAATTAGAAGTTGTAGTACTCTGTAAGGGATTTTCATTGACATAACGATCATGAGAATTGGAATATAGAAGAGGGAGTTATGATATTTCCAAAACAGAAGAAAAGTTAGTCTCGAAATGAGAAATCAAGAAATTTTGATAAGGCATGGAAAGCGAAGCGGACAGTTATGCGGGCTGCGTGAGAGGAAGAGGACTATTTTCATCATTTCACATGGACAAGACACACTGTCATGTGACCCACATGAACTGGGTTGACCAACGTGTTTAGGCACTTGGATGGGTTAGTGGGTCGGATTTTTCGAGTTAAACTAGGTATTTTATGCATCATTATGGATATATGGTGAAACCTATCATTTGACCCTGTCTAAATGGCCTAAAATGATCTTGAAGCTTCATTTTGAAACAAAAACACATCATTTGAACCAAGAAAAACTATCTCAAGCTATCCTTTGAAGATGTGACAAAATTTTCTGGAAATTCTAGCAAGATTGAAGGATTAAGCCAAGACTTTAAGGAGTTTATCATTAGAATAAGAAGGAAATCAAGGTAATGGTTATATCTTCCAAGTTTATGTGAATATTTGGGAAATTTAAGCACAAACACATGAACCTTAATTTCTTCAAGTTCACGTATATTGAAATTAACACTTATTTTCTTCAAGTTCATGATGTTGAAATTAACACTTGAAGGTACAACATGTGTAGTTTTGGAGTATGGAATCGTGAGTTGAGATTATGTATTAATTAAAATGTTATTGAGAAATGCACCATGTTTTATGAAAGGATTTTCATAGTTTGAATATTGATACAACTCATCAATGCATGATATAAAATGTTCACGTTGTACAAACATGAGTTATGAGATTTGATGTATGATTATGACATATTTATCTTGGCATTAGTGATAATTAGCATACTAAAGGACATAATTAGTTATAACAAGTCATATTATAAATTTACATGCATAAAAATGTCTTAATACTTCATAATAAATGGAATTGTAGAACTGAAAACATGTTATGATCTAACTTGATAAGAGTGAGTAAATTAATCTTGGAAGTTTGAAATATAAATTAACTTCAAATCCATACTCCTTATCAAGAATATGGAATTTGGATGTTAAAAAGGAACATGAAAGAGTTGGAAATTGGTTTAAGAAACAAGTAAAGGCTTGTTATGCATATGGAATATTTGAAAATGAGATAAAATAATATCTTATATATTGGAAAAGAACTAGTAATGTGCTAGTTGGTCAACTGAAAGCCTACACCAAAGAGTGTAAGAAATTGGAAATTTGTTCAATGGCAAGTATAAACTTGTAATACTCTTGTGTAAGGCTATGATAGAGTATATAATATTTTCTTGAATAAATTTTATAGCGATCGAGATGTGTTGGAAGCCATCAAGAGCAAGGATCAAAGAAAACTAGTTAAATCATGTAGCTAAATCTATCTAGTTACTAAGAGGAGTACATAGTGGGTTTTATAAAGGGGTGCATGCCAAAAATGCATTGTTTTATAATACATGATTTTAGTTGATGTTAACTTTGCCTTGGGACATAGTTTTTGGAAGTGTTTGAGTAATTGTCTTGTTTTGGAATATATTATTCATTAAATTGTAATTAAATTTCTATGTATAGCTATTGGTAAAATGTCTAGACAACCATATCATGAGGAGATTGATGGTAGCATTATGGTACCACAATCACAAAGGTTACAACCATGGTGGTTAAAGGAGTATGAAATCCCATTAAAAAGACCATATCAGTAGATAACGGTCTTCCCAATGGTAAGCGTTCGGGGGAACAAAATATTTGGGAATATACTTCCTATACTTGTTATACTCATTGTTAAGATTGATTGTTACTTGTTTCTTTTTACAAGTATATATTGACAAATGAATTTGAAAATGTTTGAAATTGTCATACTTTGAGTTGTTTAAACTCATGCATTGTTTCAAAACATATGTACATACGACTTTCTCGAATACGAATTTCCGCAGAATTCTATATGTATCCATGAGACCGAGTATGTAATTCTATTTACTCACTTTAAATTGAGTATCCATTTCCCTCATTTTCCTACTAGGATTGAAAGTTTAGTATTTTACATATCCATACGATTGAGTCCTTGGGTTTCCGAAATAGTGTAAAATAGGCACTTCAAATCATTGATATTTGACTCGGACTTGTTCTAAAAATGCGAGGTATTTCGAATTGTTTGTTGACACAGACAAAGTTAGGGAAAACCTCTAAAAGTTTTTCAATATTGAAACTTGGACATATAATAGTTTCAAATCAAATCTCTTCAGAAAGAAGATATTTTGTCTCATGGTAGCCTGCTCCAGTCCCCTTACGAACTTTCGTAACCTCGAGTTTGCACAAGATATCGAAGACAAACATCTGGACATTCTTAAGAACAAGGTAAAATACTATTGAAACTTGAGATTGTTGTGTTCTATATCTACAACCCAAAATCATACCATTGTTATTTGCAAATAAACACGAATGTTCAATTCTCAGTTTGCAAGTTCCCTTTAGCACCTGGAGCATTTAAATCTTAATGTCTGCCAAAAAATTTATAACAAGGGAATTGAGGCTATAACTTAAATCACTTCTTCTTTAAAGATATTCTCCATCTACTAGAATGTAAAGTACATAAACTTTCCCCTAATTTCCTTTTTCTCACCATATCCTAGAGTCATAGCTACCCCTCTTGATACTATTGTTTGCTTCACGGTTACAGATGTTGGCATATCACATCTGGTAAAGAACTGCAAGCATATTGTGTAAGGTATATTACAGTTACAAGGGATATAGATTTATTCAAGTTTTTTAATTTATATATTTTTTGATATAAATGCATTGATGAGGGATAACAGGGCATATCAGATAAAAGTTTGCAAATGGTTGGCGACAATTATCAGTGTTTTGAGTTGCTAGATATCATTAGGTATGTTATGGTGGCCAAGGCTTTTAGTTGATTCTTGAAATAAAAAGTTTCGATTTTTACCATCTGAACAACTTTTATCAAAGCAAATATTTTCTTATTTAGATCTGGGAAAAGTTATCAAATATTAAACTTTTTTGAACTCTTGATTATGTAGGTGCATCAAGATAACAGATGGGGGTTTGCAACATATCATGGCCAAGTGCTCTGGAGTCAAGAGTCTTAATCTCGATACTCTTTCAAGGTATTGATATTTTGTCAGTGAAAAAGACGTGATTCTCAACAGTGAAAATATCCATATAAAGCTTGTCTAATATCCCATATATATATATATATATATATATATATATATATATATATATATATATATATATATATATATATATATATATATATATATGTGTGTGTGTGTGTGTGTGTGTGTGTGTGTGTGCGTATGTATATATTGTAACATCCACAAATTTTACGCCAAATTTAAACTTTTCAAGCACAAATAAAACCCAATAGTATTGTTTACAAAAAAATGTTTTCAATTCATTATTCAATCAGAGTGTCCCAAAAGCCAGATCATAAGGATGAGGAGCGGTACGGTCACGCCTTCGCCTTGCCATGAACTCCTGAAGTACCTGAAACAATAAACTGAAAACTGTAAGCCCGAGGGCTTAGTGAGCTACCCCCAAAATACCAATACCACACTGATGATACCATATCCGTAATAATCAATGAATCAACATGCATACTGGTCCATCGGCCTGACTGGACCGCCCTACAGGGCCTACAGTCCAACTGAATCTATACCGAGCCTTCGGCATGACTGGACCGCCACGTGGGCCTACAGTCTTCCCGGACCGCTCATAGGGTATGTTGGCCTTCAGCACAAAGCAGGACCGCCTCAACCCAAGCAACAAGCAAATAACCATGTGCGCATAACTAACATTTACTGGCATATACAAACATCGAACATATCTATCTCACTGATTACCAAACATAGCAATCTCTCATAACTAGATCACTGACCTAGCAGGTCACTAACATATCGATCCCTACGGATCATAAGAGCATAACATACTGTCTATCCTGATTCTGATCTAACAGATCATATCCACATGTAGCATACCATAACGATAACAACTAAAGGGCCGGACTTGGTGCCTTAGACCCTATCGATATAGTGAGGATAACTTACCTTGCAGATGTCGACTCGGTAGATAAACTTCAACCCTCGGATCACTGCCACAAACTCCACCACCTATTACCATAGTATAATCATACCCATAAGTTCCCAATCCTTTAAGTTACCCCATAAGCCAACTAATCAAACCCTGGTCAAAGTCAAAGTCATCAGTCAAGGTCAACAGTCCATGTTGACCTTGACTCGCCGAGTACCCCCGGCTACTCGCCGAGTTCCTTGAAGTACTAACCCACTCGCCGAGTCACCTGAGTGACTCGTCGAGTTCATTTGGTTTACGATCGAGACCCTAAGGCCACTCGTCGAGCTTCCTTCTTGCAACTCGACAGTTTCCCGCGCATACATAATTTGGGGCAACCTCATCCGACTCGCCGAGTTGTTCATACACACGTCGAGTCTATGACAATATTCATCAGACTCGCCGAGTTGTTCTTCTAACTCGCCGAGTTGTTTTTTCCAACTCGCCGAGTTCATGCCTATCTTCATGTGACTCGCCGAGCCGACCATGCGACTCGCCGAGTCCCTTCAGTCCTTTTTTCCATACAGACTCATTTGAGCCATACAGCGGCTCTAAACTACAGATCCAAGCTTCTAAGGCATGCTTTTCACGTAAAGTTGCAAACTTTACGTGCATGCATAGCTACAAGGGCTCTTAATGTCAAATCCAAGCTCACAATGGGGGTTTCATACTTAAAGAGACTTCATACATTACCAAATTCGGAGCTTTATGACTCTAGAACTCAAGAAGGGTACAGATCTGAAGTTACAACTTCAGATCTAGCTCATATCCCACATTACGATCTCAACCAACCCATAAAAACCCTAGATCTCAACCAAAAGAGGTCTAGAAAGAAAAAGGAGAAAAGGTGACGACGTGATACCTCCAATTGATGCTATCTGAGGTAGATTTCTGATTTCCCACACTTCCTTGCTCCTAGCCTTTTGTTCACCAAGCTCTTCTTCTCAAAAGATCTCCTCTCCAAAGCTTTACACACACAAGAATGAAACACCACACGAATTAGGGTTTTCTGAGCTCTCAAAGGACTGCAAAGAGGCCAAAGGAGGCTTATGCTTCCTTAAATAAGGTGCAAAACCCCGGGATGTAGGGTTTCCTCTGCCAGCTCCTACTCGTCGAGTCCCTTCATGGACTCGGCGAGTAGGTCACTAAATACGCGAACCAACCCGCTACTACTCGACGAGTAGGGCAACCAACTCGTCGAGTAGGCCTTGAAACCAATTAAGTTCTTATTTAAACAATACCTGAGAATCGGGGCGTTACATATATATATATATATATATATATATATATATATATATATATATTACTTCATACTGTGTTACTTCACTTACTTGATTTAATGATTTATGAAAAGTTCATTTATTTTTTTAAGCTTTACACATGAAGCTTATAAGAAACTTTCACTTTTGCACAATCTTAGATTCTTAGATATGTGTGGTGCTCAGGTATATTATATGATTGCTTTACTTTTACCAATGATTCTTCAAGAAAAAATAATTTAATTTTTCATTTTTTTTACAAACTATATATATTTGATGAAGGCCTTTTCTCTATAGCCAAGTGCAAAAATATTCGTATCCTCAGTTTGACATGGTAATCTATATATATTCTATACTTTCCCATAATATATCATTTGTGTTTTTAATGTTTTTGTATTAAATATTTGTTAAAGGTGCGTACGTGTGACTGATGTGGGTGTCATAGCCATAGCCAAAGGTTGCACCTCTCTTGAACATCTTAGGTAAGTTAACACACTTTGTGGTTACTTATTTGTGTATTTGTTATTATTTATTAATAAATAATAATTGAAAACTGTAAGTCCCAAAACTATTGATCGTATGCAATATCAATCTTAATTGCTTAAAGAATGTGGAATGTTAATCAAGCAATGATTCAAGAACACACAAATTAGCTTCAAATGCACATGATTCTATTATCAATAAACCATCTGGTACATATGAACTCAAAGCAGCCGAAAACTATTGAATGGAACAACTAGACTCCTATACAGCTGAACACAAAATATATATATATGCCAAGTACAACGCCATAAAGGCCCAAGCCTATCATGACCAAAATCACCATGGTGATTTCGGTCCTTACAACCGAGAACATAATATGCCCACTAGCAAAATACTATACTAAGCCCAAGAACAAATAAAAAGTATGAGCCCAGCATAAACCACTAAAATATGACCCAACAATCTCCCCCTTGGTTTATTGCTGACTGACTTCAAGGCTTCTCCACGATATGCACGTCAGAATCACCCAATGCTCCCGCCCACAACTTCTTATCAATGATTGTTGCAATCATACCGGTGAAATCCTTTGCAGCAGCTTGAAACATTTCATTCTCCACCAAAAGTTGATGTTTAGACAAGGTATGAATATCATGCTTGCCAAATTTTAGTAAATCCCTAGGATCAACAAGTCGAATCCGACCCTTTCTCGTCTTGATAACCATAGTTGCTGTCGCCTCATCATAAACCCAAAGTAATAAATCATTCAACGAGCCATCAGGTAAACACTGAGTAATAGGAATCTTTCTCGCTTTGGTCGTAGGCGGCCATATGTCATTTACCAGAGTCTTGTTGGTGTGAGGATCTATGACACCCTTGGCCTTTTTAATGAACGAAGCTGCTGTTGTCATGCCTTCAAAGTTCATCTTAGCTTTGTCTTCAAGGAACCTTTTAAATGCCCGCGCATTGGGATCATTTGATGGATTGTGAAACGGTGAGTGTACCAGCTCTGCAAGATCAATTTTTGTCCAAGACACAAAATCAATCTTCTTCGCATAATACTCAATGTTTCGGCTCTTTTGTTTCACAATCCACATATTCTTGTTAGCTTCAAATCCCCACATGCGAATTCCAGAACGATCACCGTATCGATCAACAAATTTTCTTTTTCCAACTTCTTTGATGAACATCTGAGGTTGATCACTATTTGCATTCTTATCAGAATTCTTCATCAGAAGCATTTTATCTTTCTTCAACATATCCACTTTCTTCTGTTTCTCCCTTCTCTCTTCAGCTGTGACAGGGCCAGAAGAAAAATATTGATCTATGATGGAATCCAGAGCAGGACTAATCACCACCCCTTCAGATGACTCAAGAGCTTTTCCACCATCAGAACTGGAATTCTTGAACTCATCACCAAACTTTCCAATTAGTTTGTCTTTGAGATCAAAGTAGAAGGTTGGCAGTCCACCAAGATTGGCTTGAAGTTCTGAGATCAGTTTATTCTTTTAGGAATTCTCCTTTTCAAGCTCCGAAACTCTCACATCCAACTTCCCAATCAGCAAATCCTTTTCAATGGATTCCTGCTTCAAAATTAGTATCTCTTGTCTGAGCTCAAAGATGGTTTGTTGAGAGTCTTCATCACCTCTTTGTCCTGAGCCGATATGTATACCCTTTCCTCTTGACCGAGGAATAGAGTCTTGAAAAGCAAGAAGCTTGGCTAGCATAATAGATGCAACATCGTGCTCTGGAGATGGTGGAGCAGAAGAACTTCCTGAGGCAAAAGTTTCCTCATTAACAAAGAAGTCTTCAACAAAAGTTGGACTTTGATCATCTTCATCAACCTGGGCTGGCTCAACGGTTGGGCTTTGAACATCTTCATGAACCTGTGCTGATTCAACAATTGGAGTTTGAACATCTTGAATAACTTGGGCTGTCTCAGCATTCGAAGTTGGTGGTTGTACTGATTCAGCAATAAGCTCTCCCGGCCTTGGATCTCTACGTCTTCGCTTCTTTGGCATCTAGGAGGCATTTGGTTCATATTTATCACACTCAGATGGAGATTCAACAGTAACAGGAACTGCTTGGGGAGGCTTCCTTGCAGTTGACTATAATTCCTTAATAAGTGCTTCCATCTGTTCGGGCGTTGGAATGTTCTGTTGCTTGAAAATATTGATTTCAGTTTCTGTCTCAACTGGAGTAATCACAGCTTCATTGACTTGCTCCTTAGGTGGTACAAACAGACGAAAATTCACGTCATCATCATCATCATCGGAATCATCATCATCATCATCAACATCATCATCAAAAACATCAAACGAAAAACTGAGATTTGACCTTGATGGTGCCACATGTTCTTCTGCCACTATAGCAATTGGAGTACTAGTAGCTTGAACACCTTCTATCTCAGCAAATTTTCCAAATTTGACAAACTCCTTTAAGCCTTGATAGGCGACTTTGGCAGATTGTCTTGATTGCTTCATGAGCCCAAAGGTGTTAGGACCCAAAGCTTTCATGTCCAAAGTATCATACCATCTCTCGAACTGGGGATATTTTTCATTCAGAATCATCTAAGAAACCTGGGATACATTAAGAACAGATCCTTCTTCCTCCCTTGGAGGTTCCTTTTCATTTATTTAAAAAAAAACTTTGAAAAGTTGTAATCCCAGTTCATTGTTAAAGCAACAATGGCTGAGGTTGCAGTCTGACTAATCTCATCAAATCCTCCCTTCCTTCTAGAAATTCAACTCACAAAGTAGTGCGCCAGAAACCTCCAGTAAGGTGGCAGCTACTTCTTGATGGTGGGAGGATAGGTTCCTTCATAAAACATCTTCTCAACGACTTCCTTCACTTGATTAACAGGGTACTCAATTGGGAATGCAGGGGCATCACCAAATTCAAGTACTTCTTGGATAACTTCCTCAGAAACAACTAATTGAGTTCCCTTCACCACTGATTCAATAGTACCAGCTTCATCCGCTCCCTGATTACTGATTGAGGCATTTTTCCAGAAATCAGCAATCAGGTCCTTGTAGATGACTGCATTAAAATGCAAAGCGTTAGAAATTCTGCAATTATTCAAACCCACCATCATGGATTTGAATTCTTTACGAACAGCAGGTGGATCCATAAGATATCCAGTAACATTGTGATTTTCAAAAAACTTTAAATGATTCAAATGAGAATAATAAAAATTAAAATTAAAATTAAATGAGAATAATAAAAATTCGTCATTTATCTGCATCAAACGAGTCAAATGAGAATAATAAAAATTAAAATTAAAATTTATTTTCTCAAAAAAAAAAAAATTAAAGTTTGGACCAAAAATGTTGATTTCGGTCCAATTTTTGCGTTTTCGATCAGTCTAAAGCTGTTTTCGGTTGATCAAATTCGAGATTTCGGTCAAAAGAGGTGTTTTCAGTCAAGCAAAGCATTTTCGGTTTGATTTAATTGATTTCGGTTGGACCCAGGTCAAACCGAAAACCCGAAGAAAACCCGACGATTCATAAAGTGAATACTTTCGACAGTTTCGTCGGAAACTACCGCCAACACACCTGAAAACTACATTAACCACCTGCAAACACTTCAAAACACTAGAAAACTGGAAGCATGATATTCAAAAATCATATACCTAGAGACGATTGCAAGAAATTAAAAAGAATTTGATGATTTTAAGCCGAAGATGAGAAGATTTTTGCGATGAATAGAAACTGATTTCGCCTAGGGTTTTGAGAGAGAAAGGGATCAGATTTCGGTTGAATTCAGTGGGGATTTGAAAATGAGGCCGAAAACGAAAAATAATCTTTTATACCCCAAAATTTGGGTTCTCGGCCTTTTGAGCCACCGAATTCGATGGGCTTCATTTAGATGATTTCAATTCATTTCGGAGATAAACAAAACAATAAAATAAAGGTTGAAATAAAATAAAATAAGTGTAAAACAAAAACAAAATTAAAATAAAAATTTAAAATTTCAATAATTTAAAAATGAAAACAAATAAAATGCCAAATAAAAATAAAAATAAATTGAAAATAAAACAAACACACTTTAATAAATAAATTCAAACATTTTGGGATCAAAAGTTGTTGAGCAATTTAATAACATTTATCAGCACACACCTGCATGAATAGCTCTGGTCAATCACCAATATTGTGGTCTACTTAAACACAAATGATATTGACAAGTTAGACAGATTATAAATGACAAGACATTGTGGTTATATTCCTAAATAATATTCCTAAATAGACCATTTTGCTGACGACGACCAAAGTTATTGTTGTCCACTTAAATTCAGCAGCGAGATCTACAGATAACCTTTAGTTAATTCAATTTTAAGTGCACTAGAATGTGTTCCCCATTTCACGACATACCCTAGTAATCAAGGAATTCCAAAGAACTCTTTACTTTAGGTGAATGCTCAATTATTTGAGAGAGAAGATAGATATAGAGATGCATATGTTGTACCCCAGGTCGGATCTCTTCCAATCACGCAGAGGGAACAACATATGACTAACACAGATAGAGGGATAGAGAGATAGAAAGGTGCATATGCTGTGTCCCAGGTCGAATCTTCCGATCACGCAGAGGGGACATCATATGACTGACAGAGAGGATAAGAAATAAAAACAATTTCACACAGGCCTACTTTATCAGAACCCCCAGTCACCCTATCAGTACCAGAATTAAGGACATTAGTCCGTACATCGAAGAAATGTTGAGCCACAGTTCTAGATGATAAGTAACTTTAATGTATCTTGTAGGCTCCCTTGTTTATCTCACTGCTCAATCTATCAAAGCGTAATATGGTCAGTCCAAATGAAACTATCTAAGTCCAGATGAGTTAACATTGTCTAGTCCTTTCATTGTCAGTTGTGTCTAGTCCTTTAATTTTGAATCCTTCGTGCCTACCAGCACATTGAACACAGAGTCTAAACAATTTAGCTTCAGTGCATTACACGCATCTCATATTGCCCTTTATCACTAAACTTCATATCACTTCCCAAGAATACGTACGAAAGAAATCATATTTTTGTATTTTTGTATTTTATAATTTTTTGTATTTTTGATTTCTCCCCCTAAATTTGTGCATGGAGAAGAAATTAAATAAATAAATACGCAAATTTAAACATAAAAATAGAAATTTAATCTTCGAAACGAATCATTTTTAGAAAACCCACAAGCACATCGAAACGAGCTTTACTGAAGGGTTTGGTAAACAAATCTGCCACGTTGTTATCAGTGTGAATTTGTTCCAAACGAATGAGTTTATGCTCATAACAGGCTCGAATAAAATGAATTTTATTGTAAATGTGCTTGGTTTTGGAATGTTGAACCGAATTTTTAGCAATTTGAATGGCCGCATCATTATCACAAAAAATGGAAGTGTCAAGAAAGTTCAAACCGTAATCCAACAATTGGTGTTGAATCCAGATAACCTGAGAGCAGCAGGCTGAGGCGGCAATGTATTCAGCCTCAACCGTTGAGGTTGACACCGTTTTTTGTTTCTTGCATTGCCATGAAACCAATCGATCCCCTAAAAACTAACATCCACCCGATGTAGATTTCTTGTCAAGATCACACCCTCCATAGTTGCTGTCAGCAAAAGCATATAAATCAAAATCAGGATTTTTAGGATACCAAAGACCCAGTTTAGGGCTACCTTTAAGGTACCTAAAAATCCTCTTAACAACAATTAAATGGGAAAGTTTAGGATTAGCTTGATAACGAGCGCATTGACAGACGAAAAACATGATGTCAGGTCTGTTGGCAGTCAGATACATCAGAGATCCGATCATCGATCGATATTCAGTTTGATCTATAGATTCCCCATCTGGATCTGGAGTCAACAGTGGTCTCTCTGCCATTGGAGTTGAAGCATTTTTTGAATCTTTAAAACCGAACTTTTATAGCATGTCTTCCACATATTTTCCTTGATGCAATAAAGTTCCGGCCGAATCTTGTCGAACCTGTAACCCTAGGAACATTGTCATCTCGCCCAGGGAGCTCATCTCAAATATTTTCTTCATTACATCCTCGAACTCTTTGCATAGCTCTGTGCTAGTCGACCCGAAAATGATGTCGTCTGCGTAGATCTGTACGCCAATCAAATCTTCATCCACTGTCTTGATGAATAATGTCTGATCCATCGTTCCCCTTGTGTATCCGTGCTCAAGCAGATGTTCAGTTAGAGTAGCATACCAAGACCTAGGAGCCTGATGCAAACCATATAGAGCCTTGTTGTAACACCCAGTTCCTGATAAGCATTCTTAAAATGAAGATTTATCGTTTTAGCAAAGGGACTCGACGAGTTGAAGGACCAACTCGTCGAGTAGGATCAGGAGTGGACGCGGGAGTTAAGTGACCTACTCGGCGAGTTGGTATACCAACTCGGCGAGTAGCAGCTGTTTGGGTAAACCCTAAATTGAGGGTTTGCACCCTATTTAAACACCTTATCTCAGCCTCCATCGTCCCTTATACTCCCAGAAGACATCATATCGAAACCCTAGCCGTTTTGTGTGTTCTAAGGCCATTTTGGTGCTTTTTTGGTGGGTTGTGAAGTTTGAGAAGAGGAAAGGAGCTTGTGAGACCAAGGGGAAACAAGAAGATCCGGAGTTTGGAGCTCATTTTCAGCTTATTGGAGGTATGAAGCTGAACCTTTGTCTATAGATCTTGATTTTTGGGCCTTTTCATTCATCTTTCTAAGCCTTAGAGAGGTGGTATTCGGGATTTAGTGTTGGAAGTCAGTGTATGCTTTAGATCCAGGTCTATTGGGGGGTTTTATGGCACAAAGGTGCCCATTTTGTTGCCATAAACACCCCATGCACCATGGAGGCCATCTTTTATGGCTTTTTGGGCCAAAGACCCCTTGCATGTGTACCAAGTTTGGAACTTTACGTATGAAATGGACATTAGGGGGCCAGATCTATGGTTTTGAGGTGTTAAGACCCATTGAAATCGACTGCATAGTATTGCTCAAGGATGACTCGTCGAGTTGTTCTTGGGACTCGGCGAGTCGCGGTGTATTGACCACCAAATCCTTTCAGTGGATGGACCAGTTGTTAGGGAGGAAGTCCCGTGGATGTTTAGACACGAAAAGGGACCTGGGAATCATGGGACTCGACGAGGGTATGAACAGACTCGGCGAGTCCAAGGAAATCTCCCAATCTTTGAAGACGAAATCGACGAGTTGTTCATACAACTCGGCGAGTCGTAGACCGGACACATTCTTATGAAGGAGATGAACTCGCCGAGTTCAAGGAGGAACTCGACGAGTCGGATGAAGATGGTTTCGATGTTTTGAATGAAGGAGAACCCATCGAGTTCTTGCTAGACTCGATGAGTGGAGTCGGGGTTGGATCGGGTTAGTGGAGTATGGACTCGACGAGTTGGTAGACCAACTCGGCGAGCCAGGTCAACTGGGTGTTGACTTTTGACTAATGTTGCCTTTTTTCTGGTTTTGCTATTGACCCGGGTTAGGATTGTA